TGGAGTTGTTTGAAAAACGGTAAAGAGGAAATATGTTTTTTATCGAGATCTACCAGCCCTGAAAATATTTGCACTTATTCAAGACTTGCCCTGTATAATAATATATAATTAATATATAACCCAGAAAGTCGATAATTGATAATTTTCATATGAAATACGAGTAGCTTTAAAACTCCTTAAAACATAGTTTAAATAGTGCATTTCTAAGGCTCACTAGCTCTATCTATAAAGAAGTAAACAATCATTTAAATCAATGCATGAACGATTCGAGGTGTAACACGAACGAAGTCGCGGGAAAAAGCTAATTTATATTAAAACAGCATTATACACTTCCCCAATAAATTAACGCACCGCAAAAAAATAACCAAAAGTTTCAGTTAAGTTTTTGTGAAAACCACTTATCCGATTTGGACGATTTTTTTGAATGAAATGAACGACTGACAATGACAACAAGCATCTGTATTTGACATTTACTGGTAATCCGTGTTTTTCCATAGCCTGCTACTTACTTTAGTGAGTAAAATGGAAAAATGTTAATTAAAACATTAATTAAAATATTAAATCATGTCAGCCTATAAAATGTTGTTTCTCGTGTAATAAGGAAGATAATGAAGTAAATAAAAAAACAAAATGTAAAAAAAGAGATAAGGCTAAAATGTGATTTCAATTTTAACTTGATACTGTAACTGATCAACTCTACAGGGTATCACAAATTTTATTAAAAAAACACGTTATAATTGCTACACCCGGTATTAGTATAAAAAGGTTTCCTATCAAAATATAGTTAGTATAGCAACATTATAGAAAGAATAACCTATCATTCAAAAAAAAATCGTCCAAATCGGATAAGTGGTTTTGACAAAAACTTAACTTAAACTTTTGGTTATTTCTTTGTGGTGCGTTAATTTATTGGGGAAGTGTATGTCACTATTTCAAACATATCCTTCAAATCCTTCAATTTAATAGCTGTTAGTAAGAAGTTTTACTTCAAACATGCGCACATGGTTCACACACAATTTTTTTTATTTTTTAAAGTACTTTTTACCAAATAAAATAATTGCAACGACGCGCGACGGTTACAAAGCAATAACATTTACGCTATGTAAAGAATGCAACTGTAGACAGTTGCATTCTTTACAATAAATTGTTTAAAGTTTTATGTTCCTTTTATTTCGTAGCATCTATACGCTTTCTATTTTAGTTCGTTTAAACATAAATTCATATATTTACAAATCCGATCACAATGGCTTCCTAAAATAACTTTTTTTTCTAAACGTCATAAATGAGTAACGGCTTAGCGAAAAGTTGTGAAATCAGAGTTCATAAATACACTCTTGTTTTAATGGATTAGCATAGTTTAGGTTTTACTTCCAGAGACTGTAAAGTGGTCTTCTAAATATTTTGGTGTGGACAGAAGATACTAAAGAATAGTATTTATTATTATAATATGTCAAATATTCTGAATGTAGGTATTAATAATTTACAAATCTATACACAACCTTAACTATTTATAATAGACTTTAAAATGATCCGTCGAAAAAAAATTATATTTCTCAGTAATATTATTTTATCTAAATTTAAATTATTTTCAAAATTTATTTCTTTTAATAATAATCTACTTTAGACAAAAATTTTCATATAAAAGTTGCAAATATTCACATCCTTAATGGGATTGTGTCCTCCGCTTTTTTCTAAAGCCTGTCATTTTTGATATAATTTTTGATACAAACATATGTTTTTTTTAAATGGAAACCATAGTTGACCATGACTTCATAAAAAGCGCCATTTTTTAAGCTTTTTAGCGATATAAGCTATAATATGTTTTTTTTTTCGAAAAATAACTCAGTTATAGCCGAGGGGTGTCTCACTCGGGTAAAAAATGTACACGTACTGCCAAAATATCCTTCCACTGCTAAGCGACTGCCAATGACTATAAAGAAGACTGCCTATGACTGCCATGTAATTATTATAGGCGACTGCCATAAGACTGCCAATGACTGCCAGCGACTGCCAAGAAAATGTACATGTAATTCCAATAGTGAGACACCTCTCGGTTATAGCCAATACTTATCATTTTTAAACAATTTCACTTAGTTAGCCATGGAAACAAGTTCAATCGCCGTTGCTCTCAGAAATGTAAAGCTGTCACATCTAAACTTTGTAAATTAAAATAAACAAAAATTGTAAATATGAATTTTTCAAATGAAGAAAAGCGTGTAGATACTCGCGCATCAATAGGGTGGTTCCAACATGACTTTCATTATGATCCCCTCCATGAAAGAAATGTTAAAAATTATTTATATCATAATTATTATGCAAACTCAGGAAGGAAGAGGTGGACCAACTGCATGGGCCTCCTCCGATCACCTGACCTATCCATTTTAGATTTTTTTATGCGGTATGGTTAACAATATGGTTTACAAAAGAACTTATGAATTAAGAGAGGCACTCGAAGTGGCGGTACTAGAGAAGTTTAATTAAGTCGACCGGTCCTTTTGTGAGAATAGGTAGTAATTCAGTTTTAAAAAGATGCAATTCAAAACAGTGGCGGATTTTTTGAACATTTTCTAAAATAACTTAACGTGTATGTATATAGTGACATTATTTTTTTAAGTTTTAGTTTGTGTAATGTAAATTGTAAAGAACTGTTTAGTAATATATTCTGACTTTTTATAAGTTATAAATCAGAACATAATGAGAATGCAATCTAAGTGAAATTAGTCAAGAAAGATAAGAATTGGCTATAACTAAATTTAACTTTTCAACAGTAACATTCACCGGTCAACGTATCCTCGAAAATGTATGGTCAAGAAAAGTTGAACCAATAATATGTACCTATATACACACGCTTTTCTTCATTTGAAAAATTCATATTTACAATTTTTGTTTATTTTAAATTACAAAATTTGGATGTAACAGCTTCACATTTCTGAGAGCAACGGCGATTGAACTTGTTTCCATGGCTAACTAAGTGAAATTGTTTAAAAATGATAAGAATTGGCCATAACTCTGTAATTTTTCCAAGAAAACATATTACAGCTTATATCGCTGAGAAGCTTAAAAAATGGCGTTTTTTATGAAATCATGGCCGACTATGGTTTCCATTTAAAAAAACATATGTTTGTGTCATATGTCAAAACTTGCAGGCTTTAGAAAAAAACTATTTTTTTAAACCAGGCTTTTGTTAAATACTAAACTTGCTACAATATAATTGAATTAAATCGAGACGTGTTAACCTTATCTTTAGATATACAGGGTGCTACAAATTCGAGAGAGACAGTGCGAGACAATGCGAGAGAGAGTCCCCCATATTTGGCGCTTGAAAGTTCGTACTACACATTACTAATGAGTGCATTGTTCTAATTAAGATTTTAAAAGCGAAAAGGGCTAAGATTGCAGAATTACCAGCAGTATACAGGGTGCTACAAATTCGAGGTACGAGCATTGGTATCTCGGTAACCGTATCAGATACGAACATGGTTAAATTGGGGCAAAGTTGCGTATTGAGATGTTCACCAAGATGCCATCAAAAAAGTTTTAAAAATTTCAAGGATTGCTGAGTTTTTTGAAAAAAACTGATTTTTTGGAAAATAAATTTTATTTTTTCCTGTCGTTACTTTTTAGAAAATCAAAAAGCTAATTGCACATTCTCATGGCCACTTTATTAGGGCTATCTGACAGTATTTTTAGATTTTCAAATTAGCTGATAATTTGTGAGATACTGAAGCCAACTTATTTTTTTAAATACGGACCTGCATTTTTTATTTCATGCTTTGAAAGAACTCCGTCTCCCGAATACGATGATATGCCACACTTTATACTTTTTTTTTGTTTTGGATGCCTTAACAGCAACAAAACTATTTAATTATTATTTAAAATAATTTCAACTCCGACTCTGGTTTCTTAAATTATTTAATCTGATTATAATCATCGTAACAATATTGATTAGCGCCAATTAACATTGAATAAGGAAAATCGAGCTAATTGGAAGATTCAACTAAATAATATCCAGGTCAGAAATTTAAAGATATTATTTTTAACTTTTTTATTGTGAATTTGAAATCTCAGTGTGGGATCTAATAATATGTATAATATTAATCGTAGTTATTATAAATAAATCAACTTTTACAAACTAGTTTCTAATGTTCTGCATGTTCGAAAGTTCCACCCTCCCTACTGCACAAATTTATTTTTCGTTCAATTTTATTTATAGCTCCTTGAACTTTCTTCTTATAGTTCCGAATGCATTTTGTGTTGTTTATTGTAAACGTTGAGATGAATTGATTTGACTTTTACAAATGACATCAAATAATGTAGCCCCTTGGCGATAGGTCCAGGACATTATACTGCTCTACCATTTCCAATCATCCGAGAAAATGATTTGACTGTTTATATTATATTATATTTATATTAATTACTTTATTGCATTTGATTTTTCGTATTCAATGTTTTACCCCACGTTATTGTTAAGTTTGAAAGCTTATCAATATTGTAACGATGAATAGATTAAATATTAAAAAAAAACAGAGCCGGACTTGAAATTAGTTTAAATAAATTCTGTTCAAATGTCAAAACAAAAAAAAAATATTAAGTGTGGCATATCATTGTACTCACGAGACCGAGTTCTTTCAAAATCGGAAATAAAAAATGCAGGTCCGTATTTAAAAAAAATTAAGTTCGCCAGTATTTCAAAAATTATCAGATAATTTGAAAATCTAAAATGCCCTAATAAAGTGTCTAAGATAATGTGCAATTAGTTTTTTGATTTTCTAAAAAGTAACGACAGGAAAAAATAAAATTGATTTTTGAAAAAAACCAATTTTTTCCAAAAAACTCAGCAATCCTTGAAATTTTTAAAACTTTTTTGATGGCATCTTGGTGAACATCCCAAAGCGCAACTTTGCCCTAATTTAACCGTGTTCGTATCTATTACGGTTACCGAGATACCAATGCTCGTACCTCGAATTTGTAGCACCCTGTATATAAAATGATAAACTTACCATATTAAATGGGTGGTGAAGAGAAACGCCCCTGGAACCACGAGATCGTCAGAACCTACGCTCCAGCGTCTCCTGAACACAATCAATCCTGGCATTTTCCTAGACGTCTGCTGCCTCAATATATGGATGCACTAAATTATTGAGCACACTAACGTGTCTTTCACAGTTTATTGGTTACAGAACACTATTAAGCGGTAGTATCGGATGAAAGTCCACCATTTCCTCGTGGATGTCTTTGTGTTTATCCATTTTGTTCTAGGAAATCCAAGCTGTAACTGTAAATAAACAAATGCAATAATTAGATTTCTAATGGGAAGTCAAGTATTGTCTATTATCTATTAATCATGATAGTCAGTTATCATGTCATGTCAATGTTTAATATTAAGGCAGACCGTGTAAACATTTTTTGTGGTACAGAACAGGAATTGTGTCTAGCCCCAGTAAGGTAACTATTAAGCTTTGGTTAGCGTGGTTATTTGGAGGGTGTTAATTCATTGGTTAGTTGGTTATTTAATGGGGTTGGTTGGTTTTTACTAATTTATATTTGTTTTTTAGATATTCGTTGATTTTCTTCATTTGTTTGTAATAAATTATATAGTGCGCCACAGCTGTTCTGCATCCGCTTTTGTCAAAAACTCTAACCTGATTGGTCAAGCTTAATAGTTGCCTTGCTGGGGCTAGACACATGTCAGAACAGGAATGGAATCCTATTTAGGATTTGTTACTAGGGAGATGTTTTTCAGCGGATATATCTGAAAACGAGAGTTGGGCGTCAACGTTTTATTGTCGTTGATTAATCTCAACAGGATTCTCCAAAGTGAGAATACTGAAAAGTATCTTGATTCTTATATTTCTGATTCAGGTTCAGCATTCCAGACGCTCAGCGAAGTAGATCATTTTATTATCTTATGCTTAGCTGAGAATATTTATTCTATGTTTTTAATAAATATTAATTTATTAATAAAAAATAATAATTATCATAATTCAATAGTTTTAAGTTTTAATCATTATAACGTTTTACTTTAACTATAGCTATAATTTTTGTACCAAATGATTAGCTGTTGACACTGGCGACGTCACTTAGGAAGACGGCACTATAAAAACACACTATAAAACTGTTGAAGAACTGTAGATTCTAAAATACTAAAAATCACATTATAGGTGTATAGGATAATATACCGGGTGCGTCTCAAAAGTGACTATAACTTTTTTATTTTTTCAGATAAAAAAACGAGATTTGGTTTGTTAGTATACGCCATAAATTAGGAATGATTGACGCATTCAATTGTTTTTGCTCACTTCCTGTTTCACCGGAAATGACTACAACTTTTGATTTTTAAATGACACCCTCGGTATATTTCTAATTTATTCGATAGTAAATGACACTTTGAATAGAATGACGTAGGTACCTATATGTCAACTTTTGAGATTTTTTGAATTTCAATATGCCATTCGAGTGCCATGACGGTGTTAAAACACTAATTTTTAATCAAGAAGCGTTGGCAAAAAATAGATTTGATCGTCTAATGTTTCTCGTGTTTTGTCTTGGCCAGACTAGCTATAACTTAAGATTATATTATAGACTTTAAAAGATGCCCAATTCGTATTTTAATCATATTTCAATTTTTTCAAATGGAACAAGTGTGGTTCATTAGCATATTTGGAGGTAGCATTTTTTACGAATAATTTTGTACCACGCGCTTGGTATTTCGAGTCAATTTGTCGTTGTAGCGTTTTTTTATAAAACATTACCACTGCGAACGGCAGCTTTTCATCGGAGAGCAGTCATGGATAAGGTATTTCACTAGAGAGAAAACTAATCAATAACAATAAAAAAAATATATAGATATTGGGCGCCAGGCATGTTCAGAGAAAGAAAACACAGTTGTATATTACTTAAAACTAATAACTATATTTATTCAAGATGGACTGTAATGGTAAATAGCATTGTACAATTTTAATAATTATTATAGTGGTTATATGTCAACGAAAGTGGTGTTAAGAATTGTACTAAATATCTATGAAAACAACTATGATAAAATACAAGACATGTAAAGTTTGAGAAAAGTAATATTATTACAAAAAAAAAGTAATACTATTACAAGACATAACGCAATGAAACCTAAGATCTAAATTATTTTTTAAATATTAAATCGACATGAATGTTCTTAATAATCTAACCACTAAACATAGTCTGTACGATATTACTTAAGATGTACGTTATTGTTTAAGACTGAAAATGTGTTAAATGTTAAATGTAAGCTAAAACTTAAATCTAAACTTAGCTGTTCTTGAAGCTATCCTGTTTCAATATCCGGGCTCATATCTCTGTACTGTCTGTCGGCGATCCTGTTTGCCAAAACAACAAAAGGGGCCAGAATGAGGACATCATGAATCAATACAGCCGTAGCTACTGACTAGGCTTAGAAATGGGAGCGAAGCAGCATGGGGCTTACGCTGTAACCATACTGTGGCAATATGGGGACACTACCCGTACCTTGGAACACTACTAGGACCTTGGATAATGTCCGTAACTTGGACCATAACCTTGGATCTTAACCTTGGACACAGTCCGTCCATAAGATAACGGTACAGGGGAACACTACTCGTACCTTGGACACAGTCCGTCCATAAGACCATCGAAACAGTTCCGAGGGCTCAGTAATAAACAAAAGAACTGTCCTTTCTTCCATTTAACATTCTGGAGGACAACAGCAAAAGTACACCAACGTGTCAGCAAAATAGAAATACGAGTTAAGGTGGGTCAATCCAAAACTCTACCCTGTAGCTTCGAAATGGCAACTGATTCAAATTATACAGCAAGATTTTTATAATTGCAGTTTCTCGAAGCAAGGATTTTTTGACGGTGACAGTAGGACGGTCAAAGCCAAGTCAGTTTAAAACGCAGAGAGGCGCCTTGACATATAACAAGGATCTTGACAGCGCGCGCCTCCACAGAACAGTGAAACGATAGCAGGGTTGGCGACTAGGGAACGTAAAAATTACGCCAAGCGTGCCAAATAAATTATCAGGCCTGAACGATACAGAATCCGGTGATGATAGGCCAGACATCATATATTATATATAAAAAAGACATGTAACGAACTAAAAACGTTACATCGTTATGAACCGCATGTTAAAATTTCAAATAAACCATATACGAAAATGTCAAAAGTTGACATATTATATCTCATTCTATTCAGAGTGCCATTTTCTATAAAGTTAAAGAGAAATGTACCGAGGGTGCCATTTAAAGATCAATAGTTTTAGTCATTTCCGGTCCTCCTGAAAAATATAGTTTGTATTAAATTAATGTTGTTTAAATGAATATTAAACTTATTTTACGTCATAGATCATGAAAGAATGACGTATATCACATTGGCATTATTTTCGTAATATATTCTCCTAATAACAATAAAATTGAATATGTAAACCTAGTCTACGTAAACATAAGTTATAGAAGGTTCATTAGCGGTTATCAGTAGGTTAGAAAAAAGCATTTTAATTGCATTAATGAACTACAAGTGACTAATGCTTGAACACAGACACAATAACCGATAATTCTGAGGAAGACAAAATCGATGACAGTTCGAAATCTTGAGGGAGATTGACTCTAAGAAAACTCACAAGAAACTAAATATTTGCTAAATATATAGAAATGATCACGAATTGAGTATTGTACTTGTATTAGTTGGTTCCTTGAACATAATTTGGTAATTGCATCAAAATTATAACTATTAATTTATACTCAAATATGGGACCAATCATTTTTGCTGCAACCCTAAAACCAAAACATGACAAATACAGTGCACATAAAATTTCATCACTACATTATATTATAATATAGTCAAAATTTTATATGGTCTAATCAACAGGTTTATCTCATCGCTGAAACTGTTACAATCTACTTCTAGAGTTTTCGCCACTAGAAGAAAATATACAAAATGAAATAGTTATTTTTTGTAAACATCGCTGCTTTAATTCAAGGGTGATCAATTTGTCAGGGATATTTTACGTTAATAAAGAGCGAGACTCGTCTTGATCTTGGTCTTGCTTTTCGTGCAAGACTGACAGTGCAAGATTGAGGCAATAATTAATCAAAACTTCATGCTTGACCTCACCTGACTCCTTCACGGGTGAATACTCGGTTCTAGTATTTAACCCTTTATAGGTTGATGGTCGCTGAATCGACCACTTTAATTTAACCAACTAGTCAGTAGCGTGAGCGTGGAAGTGTATTATTTTTTTGTTTGTTTCCTATGCTTATTTCTATGTGCGCCTTGGCCATTTAAGCAATCATATCTATACGTTGGCCAAATTAGCGCGAAAAGTTAAGGTAAGCGGTTGAATATTTGACCAGTGAGCATTGGTGACACTGAGTTCGCTGTGTATCATATACTGTTCAATTTGCAAAGTTTGACACTTTCGTCATAAATTTCGGCGCCATATTGCTTTTCACGTATTTCCCAACTTGGTCCATGAGTTGTAAACTAACAATAACAAATTTAATAACAAAATATTAAAAAATTACGAATTTATTGTAGCCTACCCGCAGTATACAGTATACAATGAATAAATACGTCCTCTAAAAGTATGTCCATGAATCTTATAAGCAGGAATTCCACAGGACAAACCAATGTTGTGACTTGTTTTGCTGCTTTTTGTTCTTTATCGCAACTTATTCTTTGCACAGTCGAGTCTGAAATTCCTAAACCCTCCTATGCTCTTTATAAAACACGTGAATATTTTCGATTTAGTTACAAAAGTTGTCCAATTACATCGTAAACAGCCGACACAGGTAAAAGAGGTTTTCCAGCATCTTTATCGAGCTTGAAATAGTCGATAACTTTTAATATGAACCGTTGTCTTTTTCACAAAACGGGACAGCATTTTAAACACAAATAACTAAATAAACACAGAAAACCCTACAAAAATATCAAAAAGTGATAAAAAATCCTGGTTAGAATTTAACGACAACTTCGACAGTCGGCGATCCGTATTCGATTTCGGCGGGTAATACAAATACGATGTTTGCCTTTTTCTATTCGTGCACATTAGACAAGGAAGTACGATCCTTTATACGCAATGAACGTGATCCGTATGTAGCAAGAAAAAATAATCGTACGATGTAAGAAATATAATGGACTTACGTTTTTAACGCAAAATTTTCATTTCATGTGATAAACATGGATAAGAGAGAGAATGACAATCTGTGACGAACGTTTAAAACTTCGAAAATTGAACTGTAGGTAATAATTGTCGTCTAAGCATTTTC